TCCTCCTCCTCCTCCTCCTCTTCTTCCTCTTCCTCTTCCTCTTCCTCCCTTTCCTCATCGCCCTCCTCCTCTTTATCAGCCTCTCTGCCCTCGTCCTCGTTGCTACCGAGACGTCGGTCAGATTGGTCGTCTGTAAGCGCCGCGCCCGACTCAGGCCGGTGCAGCGTTCGAGCCCCACGTGGTGGCTCACTTCGAGCCCCGGCCAAGCCGCTCTTGGTCTTCACTGCCGTCTCCGAGGGCCGAACCGACGCGAGAGCCTCACTCCCGGTCACCGCGAGCCGACCCGTCGGCTCGTATCGCGTCGAGGTAGGCGGGTCTCGAGGCCGCGGCCCAGCCGGCCCGTCCGCCTTGCGAGGCGGCTGTCTCAATCGCACCTTGACGACCGCCTGCGACGTCGCCCTTGGCAGCTACCCACACTGGCCCGCATGCAGACCGAGTGCCACGTCGCAGACGACTGCGTCTGAGCCCAGTCCCGGCGGTACCAACCGAACGCACCGTCTCGGCTTCTACCCCGCACGAACAGCCGCTGGCCGAGTCCCGTCCGGTTGCCCGGCACAGTCACCGGCCCGCGGAAGAGAGGCTTGCAGACTTCTCGCGGCCAGATCGCAGATTCCGCTCAGCCTCAGCGAAGCGCGGCTACGGCCGCGAAGGGTGGGCGAGAAAGACGTGCTCATTGAAGCGTGTCGAAGCGCCGCTGACGCGGTCGAGTGCGTCGGCTGCCTCGAGGCGACCGGAGTCGAACCGGCCCGTTTCCGCCGGCCGACAAGGACAGAGTGCAAGGCCGGACCGACGCGGTACCGGTCGCCAACCGGCAGGTCTCGCGAGGTCTCTCCGTTCTCGCAGACGACCGCCTGCTCGAGTCCGCTCACCTTCGCCTCGGACGAGCCCGACGAGTCGTCGGAGCCGCGACGCGGCTCGCCTCGAGGCCCGCCGCCAAGTGGCGCTGCACGGCCCACCAGGACCGTCCACCACATCAGCCCGTCACCCTTCAAGAACCTCTGGCAACAGCTCGAGGCCGGTCTGTTGGCGTCACGGTTGAGTGGACACACGACCCCCTTCTCCTCCACCGACCAGTTGCCTAGTCCGTCGGCAGACGAGCCGATCGTCGCGCCGGGCTTGCGTCGCTCCGGCTCTTTGCGTCCGAACGTGGCCTCGAACCGGTCGGCCGGTGCCACGGCCACCGACTTCTCCACCGCCTCCTGCCTCACCAGCAGCTCGGGCGAGAGTTGGCTCGCTACCGGCCGAGTCCTGCGGCCCGCCGGCGTCAAGCCGAGTCCTAGCACCGTCGGTCGTCAGCCCGACGCCATCGCCTCGGCAACCGCATCGGCCTCGGTCGACACAGAGCCCGGATCTGCCGACCCCATGGCCTACAACTGCCCCCTCCACGGTCCACTGCCCACCATCCTTCACATGCCGCATCGGCACCTCTGCTCAGCCCCGCTGCACGCCAACGGCTCCTCCACCGTCTGCCCCTTTGATCGGTCGCACATGTTCGTCTGTCGGCCTGAGATGGGACTCGAACCCGTGCCCGCCAACGCCAGTTGGCCCAGCCAAGTGAGGCGTGACGGCCGCCAGTCGACACAGAACCGGATCCGTGAAGAGATCAACCGGCCAGCCTCGCCTCTTCACCAAGACAACCAGCAGATGAGTCCCGGTCTCTCGCATCCTCACGATTACGCCACAACGGCTCGACACCTCGGCCAGTTCAACCAACAGCCGCTCTGTCGTCACCACCCGACGCAACCGCAACCGCAGCAACATCAGCATCAGCATCAGCATCAGCATCAGCACCCCCACCATCACCACCATCAGATGCAGCATTCGCACGGACACACCCAGCAGATGTACCGGTCGCCAGGATCTCCGCCGCTCGACGAGGCCGGCATGTCGAGGAGCTCTGGCAGCCTGCACTTTCCGGGACCCGGCCAGCCCGGTCGGACAGGCCGACCTGGTCCGACCGGCTGCATGGCTCAGTCGACTGTTCACTTGCCGACGGCGGTCAACGCGACCGGACACTTCAATCGAGCCGCCTGCGTCGGCCCGACAAGAGAGACTCGACACGCCGGCCTCGTGACGAAACCGGCGGCGGCGCAGATCGGCTTCGTCCGAGAGATGCAGCATCTTGACGCGAGCTCAAGTTCAGCTCCAATCGT